TGATATTGTGTTGTTGTTGTTAGTTGCAAAGTCATGACTGACCCATCGCAACCCCATGGACAACATTCCTCCAGGCCTTCCTGTCCTCTACCATCCTCTGGAGTCCATTTAAGCTCACTCCCACTGCTTCAGTGACTTCATCCGGCCACCTCATTCTGTTGTCTCCTTCTTCTTTTGCCCTCAATCTTTCCCAGCATTAGGCTCTTCTCCAGTGAGTCCTTCCTTCTCATTAGGTGGCCAAAGTATTTGAGTGATGTACAGCTTCTTAAAGAAAACATTGTTCAATCAGATTTAGCTGAGGTGTGAGTTGGTACTACTAGCCAGTAGCAGCCGAGCTTCCAGCTCATTAAAATGAATGTCAGAAATTAGATGCTATCAGTAGCCTTTATGGCTGATAATTGGCTTAGTTAACAGCCTGTGAGTAAAAGCAATGATATTTGAGAGTTCATTAATTCATAATGAGTGCATGCAATTTGACAGTGCTCAGTGGCAGATAACGGTCTTTTTAGACCTAATAATTACCTTTCATACTCAAGGTGCTTTTATAGCCAATAACTTTTGCTGCCAACATGTCATTTCATGCTTAGTGTTTATTGTTCCAAACTGAGATCAAGGATATTTCTAACATTAAGAAGAGTTAACAATTATTACTTAGGTAATAGTGTACCTCAAGGAATACTAATATCAGTTTTAAACCATTTTAGTTGCATGGCATACATTTATTAATACCATTAACTTATATGATAGGAGCTGAAGCATTTCTGATACAATTTTCAGAAGTCTGAAGCAAAGCTAACTATTTTCTTCTTAATTAGATGAGAAAGGTAAGTTAAATTGCTACTAATCAATACATCTTTTTAGTATAGGTATAGATAGGGTCTTGTGAGCAAGAAGAAAGCTAAGGTTTTAAAAATAATTGAAGAAAGGAAAGACTTGAAAAGTAATTCTTACCTTCATATGCTGTATTCATTCATATATTTGAAATTAGGGTTATATATCTGAAATAAGGTGACCCATAAAATGTAATTTAAAACATATAAACTGTTTAGTACGATCAATAACAAGGTAGCACTGCTTGTAATAGAGACAAGACTACAATTCAGAACAGTCTTTAAAAAAATGAATCAGGCCTGATTTATGTTATATACTGTGTGCTATGTTTCATAGCCACAAAGCATATCCTATAGGGCTACTACATTATTCTACTATTTCTGCTTATTTCAAAATAACAGATTATCATATTACAGTATCATTCATTGGCATTACACTGCTCCATTATTTTAAAGTATTCCTGAATCAATCACTGTATCTTCATAAGGCTGGTAGAATTCTTTCATATTTCCCACTTGCATCTGGATCCCAGCAGCATTTGGATCTGGGGTGCCTTGAGGACTGTGGCTCAAGATGGTAGTTTTATGGCTGCAGAGGCTGCCATTGGACAGCTGCCTTCTGAGATTGGACCGGAGACTCCCGCAGCAGGAGAAAAAGTGGGGGACACCATAAAAGAAATGCCCACTGAAAAACATGTAAATCCAGGGATTACAGCAGCTGCTAAGGCTGGCCAGCAACATGGTGATGGTAAAAGTCACATCGCTTGACTCTGGAGCAAAGAGAGAAGTAAAGTGAAACGTTTTTTTTCCCAGATCTGTATCAACCATAATAAGAACAGTGGGGTGAACTTCTAGGTGTAATGATCAGATGTACCTATACAGTTCCTCACTGTATGCATATCATGGATACAGTTATTGCATCTTGGCACATGTGTGTAGAGTAAAAATCATAGGGGAGATTCAGCAGGTTCTGACAGGTTCTGGAGAACTCATAGCAGAAATTTTGAGTAGTTTGGAGAACCGGCAAATATGACGTCTGGCTAGCCCCAGAGTGGGATGGGAATGGAGATTTTGCAGTATTCTTCCCCTGCCACCCCCACCAAGCCACACCCACAGAACCGGTAGTAAAAAAGGTTGAATTTCACCACTAGCAAAAATACACTTGTGTTAAGGATAATGTAGTCATGATCACATGTAAACACGATTCTTTTCCAAAAAAATACATGAAAATGATCCTGTTCCCAAAGCATGGCATTCCCTCCCTCCAGATCTGTGCTCAACTCTCGCTCTTCTGTTTTTAGGAAGAGTGACAAGTCTTTTCTCTCTTAGACAAGCACTTTCAAATTGAACTAGTTTATAATTATGATTTTTAATGTTTTTTAAATTACAGTTAACTGTCTTAAATGCCCAAAATACAGAAGGGGTGAATAATAATAGTATACAAATATATATGCCATACCAATGTTGATTACATTTCACACTTAATTACTTCTGTCCAACTGATTTGTCTTTGGCAAGATACAAATTGTCTCAGTATCGCTAACAATGAACATAGAGGTTAGAATTGCCCCAATAATCTATATCAGAGGTCTTCAAATTTGGCAACTTTTAAGATTTGTGGCTGGAGAATTCTGAGAATTGAAGTCCACAAGTCTTAAAGTTGCCAAGTTTGGATACCCCTGATCTATTTATTCTTTATTTCTAGGCTATCAGAGTTTTCTGAATGTGCCATCCAGTGATTATCTGGATTTTTGCCTGGCAAATTACTCAGATGCAATCTAGATTATACAGACAAAATGCCACTAGATGTCAGCAAAGAGATTGTTGCTGCTTAAATTGTTTGCAGACATCTAAGAGTTATGACTCTGTATCACAGAAACAAGGGTTTGTCCTCTTAATGTCTAAATCATGTTAAAACTCAAAGAAAAAGAAAAAAAACTAGCATGTGCATGGAGTGATTGTGGTTGTATTTAAAAGTCTGACAGCTCAAGGATAGAAACTATCTTTAAACCTATATAAACATGCATCAGACTCCAGCAGTTTCACCCATAATTTTTTGAAATAGCTATAAAATGATTTACATCAATAAATAAGACCATCTCCATGTAATAATAGGTTTATGTAAAGGCAGTCAACAACTATCATTCTGGAGACTAAACTCCGTATTAAAAAAACAGTGCTCTTTCCACTGCAACCTGTCAATTTATATGCAGTCACAATCCACCAGGAGTGTCCAGAAATTAGGAGGCTAGTTTTTGATGCCTGCTGTTTTCAGCGACACTCCCTGATCTGCAAAATCCAATTATAGCAATATTTTTCAAATTTGATAACTCTGAGATATGTGGACTTCAACACCCAGAATTTCCCAACCAGCATGACACAAATCATAAGATGGCATGTTTGAAAAATACTGAATTATATGAATTCAAAAAAATTATGTAATTTGAACTGAACCAGAAAGAGAAAGCTGAATAGGATATTGGATAGAAGAGGTACACAGATTTCCTTTAATGGTCCATTGTTCTTCCTATGCACATTGGCAAGAACTGTGAAAACAGGGCTGTTTTAGATGTATCATATATGCATAATAGAAAATTCACTCTATAACTTAGAAGCATGAGCACCAGCAGCAGGGATTAGCTTGAATTTTGATATGTACGTAAATAGATCAAGTGTGTTTCACATATGCATTTAGAATATAATGCTAACTTGGTGCCTTGTTTGCATGTTTAGAAAAGGATTAGAATTTGAGCCTTTGGGAGATCTAAAGCTAGCATTATAAGCACTGAAACAATTACTTCTCAGTTCCCACACTTTGCAACTTGGTAGATCTTGTTATTTTGAGTTTTAATTTAAAATCTTCAGCAGGTGATTATGGTTTTTTAAAGTTTTATTACTTCTAAGTATAAATTCCAATATTGCTAATGTAATTAAAAAATAAGTATGTGACAAAGGATTATAGGTAACATAGCTAGTTTGAATGCAGTTCTACAAAGAACGTAATAAAAATTTAATACAGGTCCTTGATCTACAGCCATTAATTTAGTGACCGTTTGAAGATACAGTGGCACTACAAAGTAACTTACAACTGGTCCTCACACTTATGACCACTTCAACATTGCCCAGTTACATGATCAAAATGTGGACATTTGGTAACCAGCATATATTTATGATGGATGCAGCATCCTAGCTGGCTTCTGATAAGTAAAGCCAGTGGGGGAAGTTGGATTCATTTAACAATCAAATGATTCAGTTAACAACTGCAGTTGTTAGCTGAACATGGCATTCGCTTAACTAACATGGCAAAAAAGTATAAGCAATTAGGCATGCCTCACTTAACAACTCCTTGTTTAGAAATGAATTCTGATCTAAATGTGGTTGTAAGTTGAGGATTACCTGTATGTACAATTGTAGATACATATTTACACATACTTGTAACAGATAGATGTTCTCAACTAGGTTACAAACAACACTTTTTTCTCCAGCCTGTAATTATTTCAAAGGAATAATTTAGGTGCAGGCGTATTTTGTAATAATATTAAAATATGTCATTTTTTAAAAAAAATACCCCAAAGGAACAAAATCAACTTACCTCCAATTTTCTTTCATTTCAAAGTAATTTCACATGTAGAGCAGTGCAAACATTAAAATACATATTACTGTATGGGTGTTTGTGGCAGCTGAAGCACTCAGTATTTACAGTACCAAGATAATGCAAGATATCTAGATAGATTCTAGAATATCTACTTCTCTTCCGTTTTTGCCAAGGCATGGTGAATGGTGATAGATTTTTCCATCAGCTTATAAACATAGAGTAGATGGATAAAGGTTATATAATAGCAAGTGCAATAGAGCATCATTGCATATATTGTATTTTTAAAAAAAATATGTTCACAATTTCCTTTTTTACTTAGATGGAATTGAAATAAAAATCATATTTGTTCCATCTGAAATCCTGGCCGAAATCCAGTAATTGCACTGCCTATAAACCCAATCTATAAATCTGGCAGCAGACTGAACTTCTCAAACTGGTACCCGGTCCCTCCAATTAAAAGTGACTCACCATCATTGGGTGCATTGTTATCCCACACTGACCACATCTGTACACTGAAGAAAGGTGCCCAACAAGCAATATAGGCCATCACTATGACAAAAGTCATCTTTACAGTGCGGATCTTGGCACGGGAGATGGTATGCACACTGCTAACCCGGGAGCCAGAATGGTACCCTTCTGCTCCATTCTGATCAGTGGCTGTGTATGAGATAGCATCTGCTGCAGAGAGACCACATCTTTGGGTCTTTCCTCTAAGATTCTTGCAGATCTTATGACAGATCAGGCCATAACAAACTGAGAGGATGACCACCGGCAGTACAAAGACACACAAAGTCATCCATGTAATGTACACCTTTGCGCCCCAAGGGTATTTGAACTCTGCCCAGCAATCCAGCAGACCAGAACCTTGGCGGATCTCCTTTACTGAGAAGATGAAGAGCTGAGGTATGCTAAGCAAGCAACTTAGTAACCAAGTGACTCCAATCATCAGATATGCCTGGCAAGTTGGCTGCCGTAGAGTACGCAGTGGGTAGCACACAGCCATGTAGCGATCTAGCGTCATGGCAATGAGCATGTATGTGGAGGCAAACATGCTTAGCACCTGCAGGTACTTGACAACCTTGCAGAGTAGATCAGGACCCTGGAAACGATAGGTCATTTCCCAAATCATCTGGGGAAATACCTGGAAGAGGGCCACCCCAAGGTCTGTCAGTCCCAGGTGAAGAATGAAAAGGTGCATCCGGCTCATCTTCTTCCGAAGGCGATATATGGCCAGAAGGATACCCAGGTTTCCCACCACAGTCACCATCAAGATGGCAGCCAGAATCCCAATCTCAACCTTAGCAAGGTCTTCATCTCGGGTGTGGAGGATAGACTGGTTGAGGTCCCGACTCAGTGGCTTGATGTTTTCCAGCAGAGAGCCCTCCAAGAAGCTCCTAAAATATGTAGTATTCCTCTCCATTGATTAAGGTTCTTATATATTTGATGATTTTTCAGAAGTGTGTCAGAACATGCTCTATGCAGCTGAGAAGCTATTTTTCTCTTTCTTAAAATTAGAACAAACTGGTAGTATAATAGCAATAGAGCATTTTGAGCTAAACTGCATAGATCTGATTAACTTCCCAATCTTGGTCCATTTTTTTCTTTTTTACTGACCATGCTGTTAATATTTGGCTCTGTTATTTAATCAGATGTAATTAGCAGTACAATTATTTCTAAACAGCATGTTCATGGTTCTAGAAAAACTACAGATCTCCTCCAAATATTCAGACTATACAAAATGGCTTGATTAACTAATTTTCATTTTTCACTTCTGTACCCATCCTTTAAGATAAGCTTCTTCTTGAAATAATAGTGCTTCTCCTTTCTCCCTTTCTTTACTTCTTCATTAATTCCATACTGACTTCTCATTTCTCCATGTCTCAGTGCAGAATTCTTTTTCTCTAATCCTTATTATTAACTCTTTATAAAAAATAAATATTTAAAATGCAAAGAATAGGTATAAATTGACCTAAAATAAGCATCGGACTATAAATGCAAAATCGAAGAAGGTGGATCTCTTTTTGGACGCAGGCAGAAGTCAGGTGTTAAATCTGGATGCTGATGAATTGACTCAGGCTGCTCAAATAGACTCTGTTGCTTGGGTCTGGGTTTTTATAGACTGGAGCTGTCCCCTCTGGTTGGTTCCTGCTGTCTGGCTACACTGTCATCCCTGCTGTTGAGCATGAAGTTTGAAGAATATCTGCTGCTCATCTACATGAATACAAATCCATGGGTGTGCACACATGTATGCAATCACTAGAGTGATTGTACCTTTCTTTCATGAGTAAATACACAGATTCAGCTAGGCATCCAACCTTGCAATCTCTTACTCCAGATGAACATTTTGATTGCTATGTATCTAAATAGTGCACATAGACTTTTTTCTTTAAGCTTCAAGAGTTTTGCTCTACGTATAAGCAGATTATGCAGGCGTTTGCAACTGCCAATCCTGAAAGTCTTTTCATTTCCTGCTTTATTTTCTGCCTCATGAATTTCAGTATTTTTATATTCACATTTTTCTCCCCCAACTGATAGTTACATACAAATGTTTCACATAATTCAATGATAAATGAATAGGACAGCTCCAAAGGCTGCAAATGTTTAAAATTAAAATTATTTTGAGAAATTCCATTGTTCTCCTTTTTTCCATTCTATTAGGAGGCTGGTTTATCATTCTCATATCACCAAATAACTTTGGAATCAGAACCATATGCAATAGAATTTGACTCTATAAAATGTGGGAGAAAAATAATAGCTCTCCTTGTGTAACTAGCAATAGTCTTCCAAGGCTATCCACAGGGTGTGGCATAAAAAAAATTAAGATGGGAGCTGCAATGATGTGATTGACGTTTTGGCTGGTTTTATGTGTTTGCATATAAAAACACACACATGAAAAACAGATGGAGCTTCAATCACATAATCATGACTGTCATCTAGACTTTTCCCTCCACCCTATCCCATGAAACTGCAGAGCACTTTTTCCAAGGACATAACCTTGTAACATACATCTTTACAATAATGATTGGTCTGACAAGTATATATTTATTGTGACTAGACTTTTGCCATGAGGATTATAATTGCCCTTTTGCCATGAGGATTATAACAGCAAGAGCAAGAGCACTTCAATTTATATACCACTTCATAGTGCTTTACAACCTTCTCTAAACGGTTTACAGAGTCAACAGAGCCCCCAACAATCTGGATCCTCATTTTATCGACCTCAAAAGGATGGAAGGCTGAGTCAACCTTGAGTCAGTGAAGATTGAACTTCTGGCAGTGAGCTGAATTAGCCGGCAATATTGCATTCAAACCCCACTGCACCATGATTCTTATTGGTGGTATTTTGGTATTTTCTATCCATAAGTGCTCATTCTGATTTTATTTATTTAAATTATTTAGATAAAAATGTATATGTGATGTTATATTATTATATAATCATATAACCTGCCAAATTACTTTGGGCAGATTACAATATTCAAAACACCCTCTGTGTGCGCATTTTCATTTAAAACAATCTGTGCATGAACACAACACTAAAAGACGAATAAAAATGAAGATTGTTCTGCGCATGTGCAGAACAGAAAATAAAGATGGTGCCACCGATCATAGAACCGGTACGGTCATGTGTCCACTGGAATTGCTATCTATTCAACCGAACCGGACCTCACCTCTGGATCAGCCATGTCTTCAATGCCTTGTGAAAGGCTAGCAGGAACAGATTACCCAGTTCTCTCAGAGGATGCTGTTCCACAAGGCAGACGCTGCCACTGAGAAGGCACAACTCCAGCGCCCAACAAGATTACAACAAGAGAACAAGAGGACTGGAGCATGATCTCTCTACTATTCCTAGTGGGGGAAAGCAAAAGCAATAGGTGGTTTTCCTACATGATCTTTGTAAATGTACGTAACACAGCTAGTCCTCAATTTACAACAGTTCACTTAGTGACTGTTTCAAGTTATAATGGCAGTGAAAAAAGTGACCATTTTTCACTCTTACGATTGTTGCAGCATCCCCATGGTCATGTGATTCACATTCAGGTTCTTGACAACTGACTCACATTTATGACAGTTGCAATGTCCCGGGATTGTATGGTCACCTTTTGCGACCTTCTGATAAGCAAAGTCAGTGGGAAAGCAGTTTCACTTAATAACTGTGGCAAGAAAAGTCAGAAAATGGGGTAAAAGTCCCTTAATAAATTTCTCACTTAGCAACATGAATTTTGAGCTCAATTGTGGTTGTAAGTAGAGGACTACCTGTATATATCTGTGATACAATAGCAAACACAATAAAATAATAATCAAGATTTAATATTGTAATTGGCTACTGGATGTTTTTTGCATTTGTCCCTTCATTTACTGTTCCACAAAAAACTTTTTCCATAGTACCCAGATCATTTAATAATGCTATCAAAGTAGTAAGAAATGTCAAAAGAAAATATGATTTCCTTTGAGAGAGGCAGAAATACATTTTTAATTTCTGAATTTCGAACTTTTAAAAATGCAGAGTCATTGTTTAAATGGGGGAAATAGCAATGCATCTGATTTTTGGAGAGGAGCCATTTGCCCTCTCGTTCAATGCTCATTCATATAATCATAGTTTTCTCTCTCTTTTTTTTATTTAAATAATAAATTTTATTACAGTCCCTAGGCAATGGCTTGATGATGATGAAGATAATCTCTAAACTTGTGGTTCACTTGAAGGACCTATTCAGAGAAATAACTGCAACTATATGAAGGCTTGTCCAATCTCCTATACCAGTCAAGACTGATTGATCAAGTGTCATTGTCAATAATAAAAATATTCACTCTTGGCAATCACATTCAAAGATCTTTTCTATGATAAATTATTCCTAGTCTGGCTCTTTAGATCTCCCATTTCTGAGGTAAAAAGGTATATTTACCTACCTTCTGGACAGCTTCTTCCTTCCTTTCCTTCCACCTTTCCTTGTTGAGTGACCTGAGTGAGAATTCTGATTGTTTATGATCTATTTGGTTTTATTGCTATTCAGAGTATTCTGAAGAGTCTTCTCTAGTACCAATATTCCATAGTTTCAATATCCTTTATATTCGGCTTCTTCAAAAGTGTTCTTTCACAGTGACTAAGAGAATCATTATGATGATTGGTACTCTGCCTGGTATTCTGCCCTTCTTCACCTAACAGCAATACTGCCATGGTTCTATGATACACTACACCAGGAGTCGGTTCTGGCTGGCTTTACTGTTGTTTCGCTTGTGTGTGTGCTGGATGCGTTCTGGATGCATTCTGGAAGCATGCTGGATGTGTACTGTGTGCGTACATGCACAGTTCAATTAAAATTGTTCTATGCATGCTCAGAACTTAAAAACAAAATGGCAGTGCCAATGGCGCTGACCAGAGAACCACTTCGGGGGTGTGGCAGGCTTGGATCGCTGCTGGTTCCAGCTACTGCCACCGCCACCACTACCGGTTCAGTCGAACCGGGCCGAACCGGTAGTAGGAACCCCTCTGCATTAAGAAATTATTACTGTGCTGACACAATCATATCTGCTTGCATGGTAAACAATTTGTTTTCCTTTTTTTCCTTATATTAGCTACTAGCAAATATGTATGTGTTTTGTTTGTACTACTTACAAAGCAGTGGGTGATGCATCTGAGACAAAAAATACATTTAATAAAATCAACAGGACTGCTGAAAATGCATTCAGACAGATCTATTTATTTGTCAGTCAGATGCACAGTATTTGTTATAGCTCTAGGAAGGTCCCTAGATTGAATGATATCCAATATTTTATAATGTTGCCTCTTAATCCACATTGGCCTGTTTTTAGTTAGAGGCCTAATTAAATCAGGAGCTAAATTAGATGAAAGGGCTTGTATATCCTGGCTTGCTTTTAACAATGGTGTGTACATTCTTGAGTAAACTTTCTTCTTAGTTCTGATAGATATATCAGTGATCAGAGTATGACCATCAGATCTTGGCTTCAGAAATGCAGCTGGTGACAGCAAGTAAGTACGGTATAGAAAACCGTAAATCTTTGCTGAAATCCAGAAGTTAGTGGAGTCCAGATTTTGTAGCTTTAAATCAGAAGACTGTTTGAATTTGCACCTCTGTCATAGCAGGGATGTTTTTTTACCATCCAGGGACCAAGTCAAGTGTGGTTTCCTGTAGTTTTTGATATCCTGATTATTTGTTATTGTGATCTACTCTGTCCTATCCTTCTTTGCAAAGATATTTAGTATTGAGGGAAGGACAGGCTTCAATTGTGATTATGTTATAAAGGGCAGAATTTCTATATCTGTAGGTACATTAGGGGAAAAAATCATGAACTTTTACAATTTGTGCATCACACCCAAATCTGAGCAATAAAATGGGAGGAATTGAAAACAATAACTCCTAGTGCCTTGTGTTTTAATGATTGTCTGAATTCAGAAACTTTTAC